AGAACATATGGAACTCAAAACAACTGTCAACCAATTTCAAGGTCAGAATCTTTAATACGAACGTCAAGACAGTCCTACTGTACGGAGCTGAAACGTGGAGAACTACTACAACCATCATCAGTAAGGTACAAGTATTTATAAACAGTTGTCTACGCAAAATACTCAACATCCACTGACCGGATACTATCAGCAACAGCGTTTTATGGGAGAGGACAAATCAGCTTCCAGCTGAAGAGGAAATTAGGAAAAGACGTTGGAAGTGGATCGGACATACATTGAGGAAATCACCAATGTGCATCACGACTCAATCCCTAACTTGGAATCCTGAAGGGAAGCGGAAAAGAGGAAGGCCAAAGAACACACTACGCCGGGAAATAGAAGCCGATATGAAAAGGCTGAATAGTAACTGGAAAGAACTGGAAAGGAAGGCTCAGGACAGAGTTGGATGGAGAATGCTGGTGAGCGGCCTATGCTCCTCCACAAGGGGTAACAGGCGTAAGTAAGTAAGTAAGTAAGTAAGTAAGTAAGTAAGTAAGTAAGTAAGTAAGTAAGTAAGTAAGTAAGTAAGTAAGTAAGTTTCTGCGTATCGAGAAAAGTAAGTTATTTGTTCACACAGACACCTATACTGGTGATAATATACTGTTTTGCATTTCCTATATGACTAGGACATTATTGTTGGCTTATAGGTCCATCCTTCATTCCCACATTTGGGATCACAACAGTGTTGAGGAAAAATATAGGCCGCTTGACCTCGTGTACATTGATCAGCTTATTTTTCTCCGTAATTCACAGAAGTGAGTTGAGTCAAATGCGAGGATGGTTTTGTGACACATACGTTTCATAAATCTGTTAGTGCGGACATACCATAAGAGGAACGTGGCGAATAGGCGATAAGAAACTTTCTAACTCAATTTAGTTGAAATACGGATCAATATTTATAGACGTGGAAGACAAAACTAGGCATATGTGCATAGCCCAATTTTACATGTGTGGATGATAAAATGAGTGGAAAGATCAGGATAGTTCACTTGTATACAAATGGGAACAATCACGTTGGCATGTAACAATTCTAACTGATACAGAATCCTGACATTTGGAACAATTTGATTTATAGTATCCTTCCCCCCATTCGACATTATTCCTTAACTTCCAAGAACCTCCTCTTTCCTGAGCAATTGTTTCATATACTTAACACTTTTTAGCTGAACGTATAAAGTTTCGTCATAATAAGTGACTGTACCTCCTGGAGAAATTATTGTTTAGGCATATTTTATATTTTTCGTATTCACATTTGCTTTATTTTATTGCTACGGATTCACCAAATTTCGTACACCTTTCGACGTAACTACACTGAAGCCATTGCTCACCAAGTGTTTTTGATACACTTGAACTAACGTGCAACGCCGAGCCACTCTCCAGTCCAGGCATTTGGTATTGCTTCAAATTTCGAATCTTGTACACAGAGGACTGGATATTTTTTGCTGTATACCGCAACCAATGGAAAAATCTTCAACACAAGACTATGAAGTTATTTATGTGTACAAGAAGTGATACTCGTTCAAGATATACATTCGAAAAATCAGAAATCGGCTTTCCAGTTATTCTGTTTCATGTAACCGCCCATTAAACTACGGAGTCGCTTATTCATGAACAATAAATGTTTCTAATCTTAATGACACTGGATTCAGATGCTTATCTAGTACTTAGGTCTTTATCGAACATTCCGAATTCTGTCTTGACAAAGGTGCGACTAATGGATGAATTCGGCCCAAATATTCTGAGAGTACCCTACTCTCATTAGAATCCCCTCACTCCTGTAATGATATAAGATTATATTCAAACGATAACTGCGCATATATTACCTCCCACTGCTTGTTCTTCAATGAAAACAGGTTACACTGTTATTCATTAGCACCCTTAACTATCGTGACCCCATTTTCTCCGCTGGCCACTATTAATAGTAAAGTATAAACGGCTCTGATTCGTTAGCACTTGAATTCTGTCCAATTGTTGCCTGATGCTTTAGAATGTTACCACATTCACCTCTTCTTCAAAGCCTTTAGGTAGATCAAGAAGGAAAAAAGAAAGATCAGGCTGAATACCAGCAGAAGCACTAAAACTGATATAAAGGTAACTACAAACGTTCCTTGTGTTTTCTGCAGAGAGATTAAGGAGGAATAACAAGAGCCAGTCGACTTGATAAGAGATATCTTCTTGGGATATGAGGAAAGGAAAACTACGGGGTATCAAACTGTTATCAGTACCAGGCTAATTTTCCAACAGTTTCGTGGGACAGAATGAAGGATTGTGTGGACACCCAACATCAAAAGTTTCATTTTCAAGAATAATTTATGTATCAACCAAATGAAATATCAGTTGAAGGAACCTTGTCCGCATTGTTAGTTATGTCCATAACTGACCAATAAAATCGTTGCTTAAGCTCCCACCACGTTTACCTGGTCTGATGTGTCTGTAAACTATCCCTGTTGCATATGACCTACCAATTGAAAAACATTATTATCCTATTATATTAGTGTGACTCATAAATTTTATTCATTTTATTAAGACACGCAATACTGGTCGGTATGTTTGTGCGTTTCACTTAATGACTGTAATTCTTTAATTATTGTACTAATCTAATTGTTTTTATGTTTAGAAACAGATAAAGTTTAAAGCCAAGTTGTCCTTGTTATGACTATAGTTTTCACTTAGACTCTGGGATCGCCAGTATCGCGTTTACAGTTTTAATAGTATATCTGTAGAACAAAATAAATCCTACATAGTTTCGACCAGTAACTCATCAAAAATTCACACATTGAGTGCTGTTAAATGTCGATGAAGAATCATAAAACGGATCAGATTCCTGAATTGTCTCCCCACTATTCAGAAACTCATAATGATGATCATTTGTTAGGAAATAGCTGCCGAGTGGATCCCTTGTTAGAGTTAGAATTAACTAGAATACGCTTAGCTCAGACAGAAAGAGAAATTGAGTTGGAACACTTACGTCAAAAGGGAAGAGAACATTATAATCTAGTTGTAGCTGACAAGGTGATGTATAAGTCTACATTTGCCTCACCTGCAGTTGATATTCCTCCTGGAAAAGATTGGATGACAATGATATCGAGAGCTTTAGACCTACCAAAGAGAGAGATTATAAGGTTTGATGGTAATCCCATGAACTATTGGTGTTTCATACGAAATTTCGAAGACTGTTTTGATGAAAGAGTTGGATTCCGATCTAGGTTAAACTATTTGATTCAGTATTGTGATGGTGAAGCTAAGGCTACCATTGTTCACTGCGCATTGCTTGAGCCAGAAGAAGGCTATCGAAAGGCGTTAGAGCTTCTCGAGGAAGCATTTGGTCAGAAGCACATCGTGGCCCATGCATTTATTGATAAGATGCTGAGTATACCTGCTATTAAGGGAACTAATCCAGATAGTTTAAGAAGACTGTCCCGTGAGATGCATGTTTGTAAGCTCACACTCACGCAGATGGACTATGTATCCGATCTTAATTCTACAAAGACCATCGTGTGTATGTTCTTAAAATTCCCACTGCATTTACAGAGGGAATGGGTTAAAGTGGCATCTAGGATTCTTAAGACAGGCAGAGAGCCTTTATTCAAGGACCTTTGTGAATTTGTGAAGGAGCAGTCAGACATTGCTAATACTAGGTACGGATTACTTGTCAGCGGTGATATTTCTAACCGCAGCCAAAGGCAATCGGTTACCGTTGCAAAAAGGCTCCTCGACTCAGAGTACAAAGCAAGAGTGTCGTTTGCTAACACAAGTGAGTCTGATGTCCCCCCACACTTAGGACCAAGAACTCTTGGGTTATCATGTTTGTTATGTACTGGAAACCACCTCTTGGACCGATGCGAAAGGTTTAGAGATAAGGATGTTAGTGAAATAATAGAATTCGTATTAAGGAAGAAGTTATGTAATGTCTGTCTGAAGGCGAACCATATAGCAAGAAACTGTCGAGCACTGAGATCATGCGCCGTCGATGGATGTGGCTGGAGACACCATACCTTGTTACACAGAAAGCGGGAGGAGCAGAGAGATAGTAACAGTAATAATAATAATAATAATAATTTATTCTCAAATAACATATTGTTACATGAGGCATGCCGGTTTACAGGCAAGATCAAATTGTTAAAGAAGTTACAATTTTCACTGTTGAAAATTACTCAGCTGGGTTGATATTTCATAAGATATAAATGTAAATGGATTTCATAAGAAACATGTCAATATCAATATCACACTTGGCGCACTTTATGGAGGTACCGTTTCAACATACAACTGATGGTCGAGAATAGATACATGCGAAGTTGGGGGCTTTTAGAAGTTTCGAACTTATATCCCTCCAGAATATCGGAAGCATTAATAACGGTGTAGGACGAAGTCACCCGTGCCATATCTGTTTTCGGTGGAGTATCTGCAGGAGGCTGAAAAAGGCTGAAAAAGTAATGTCCATATTAATACCCAACTCTGTATGGAGGAAAGTGCTAAGCATGTACAGGGACAAGTAGCAAGTAGTAGTGCCCGTATTGGTAAAAAATGGAGAAAGATCAGTACAGACTTGCGCTTTCTTAGATAGTGGCTTAGATGCTTCGCTTATTACGGAAGATCTAGTTATAAGGTTGGGTTTAGAGGGAGAGTCTAAAACACTTTTATTGAAAACGCTAGATAGCCAGTCCACATTTCATTGTAAAGAGGTTCAAATAGAAGTTTCCTCCCTGGATTCTTCTTCATCATTTAGAATTCCAAAGGTATGGACAGTCGAGAGATTACCTCTGTTACGCAGGACGGTACCAACAACATCTCAGATGGTATCATGGTCGCACTTGCGTGGTGTGACCATCCCAACAGTTGACGATGAAGACGTCAAGGTACTGACAGGGTGCAATGTACCTGAGGCACATGAGATGGAAGAGAAGAGGGTGGGAAAATCTAATGAACCATACGCCATAAAAACTCCTTTAGGGTGGACGTTGTTTGGACCTTACGGTGATACCACGAGAAATATGGGTGTCATAAATTATTTATCATCTAAAGAGGAGCTAGAAGCTAGATTAGACCAGTTATATAAGATGGACTTCGAAGAAGACCCGAATCATCGTGTGCCCATGTCGGTTGAAGGTCGTAAAGCCTTGGATACTATGTCCAAATCTATACAGTTAGTGAACGGGCATTACCAGATAGCATTACCCTGGCGTCACCAACAAAGTCTACCTAATAATAGGAAACTAGCGATGAGTAGATTAAATTCCTTGAGAAACCGACTTATCCGTGACCAGAGGTTGCACAAAGAATATATTAATGTGATGGCACAGTATGTTGAAAAGGGTTATGCAGAAAAGGCTTTAGGGAACTTTATTAGGTGTCGGGTTTGGTATCTACCGCACCACCCAATCTTCCATCCGAAAAAGCCTAATAAGCTAAGAATCTTATTCGACTGTGCAGCACAATATGCCGGGACATCCACAAACAGTTATTATCATTTTTGCTTTCGGTTAATCTGATCAGCCCATCCCAACACGGGTTTATGACCAAACGCTCCTGCTTCACATCGCATCTGGAATTTTTTGATCAAATTACCCAGAGAAGAGATGTTGGTCAGTCTGTGATAATTTTGTACTTCGACTTTAGTAAGGCCTTCGACAGCGTCCCACACAAGCTTCTTCTTCTAAAACTCTCTTCATATGGAATACGGAATCCCCTTTTATCTTGGCTCAAGTCATTTTTAGAAGAACGTAGCCAAATTGTCCGCTTTGGATCCTGCTACTCCAAACCTGTGAATGTAACCAGTGGGGTTATACAAGGAAGTGTAATTGGTCCATTACTATTTCTCCTTTTTATCAACGACGTTTGTTCCCTCTTTCAATATGGTAAACCTTTTCTTTTTGCCGATGATCTAAAAGTGATTTATTCATTCTCATCTCCCACAGAAGAAAGCTATATTTCAACAGTAATCCAAGAAGAAATAAACAAGTTGTACGAATGGACTATTTCGTGGAATTTGCCACTTAATGTTGACAAAAGTGGATTTATTAACATTGGCCGTTGCCTTAACTTAAATCTGGCTATACACAAATATACACTGAAACCTCTCAACACTGTTCGTGACTTGGGTTTAAGATACAGCGACAGTTTGAACTTTTCGGAACACATTGCATCTCAAGTATCCAAAGCTAGAAAGCTCATCGGATTCATAATGATTAATTTCAATAATACCGAATCGAGATTATTATTATACAGAAAATGTATCTTACCAATTCTTGAATATGGTATCTTAGTTTACAGTAACTGCAGGCATAATGACCTGATTAAAATTGAAGGTGTTCAAAGAAGGTTCACCAAAGCTGTTTTGGGGTATTCTGACAACAAAGACTATCACCAAAGATGTCAACAACTCAAACTAGAACCTCTCTGGATCAGGCGTATCAAACTAAACCTTATTTTTCTCTACCGGCTTCTTAACGGTATTTCTTACTCTTCGCTATCTACCCCATCATACTCTATGATACCGTCCCACAATCTACGCAATAAGGAAAATATTATAGCGATTCCAAAAACCCAAACAAATTTACGCCAGAATTTTTTCGTTATTCGCTACTCAACCATCTGGAATAGACTACCAATGAACCTCCGATGCAGTGAAACTATAATCCGGTTCCGAAGTCTTCTTGATGACTTTCTTTCCGAAAGTGGATTGTGTCACCTTTTGAATATTAACGTGCTTAACAACGATTTATACAAAAATGGTCCGTCATCTATCTAACTGACTGAAAAGCAAAGTAAAACCTTTGAAACTTTTCACGTCTATTTCACTTTATTTTATATTTATCTGAATATACAAAGTCTGCTTATATTTGCATTTATAATTATTACTGTTATTAATATCATTATTGGTCATTCGACACATTAGATATTCTTTTCATCTCTTCTTGTCCTTGTAAACATATTTTATCCAAAGTCTACAATGAAAAACAAAAAACCCCTATGTTCCACTTAAATAATTTTTTTTTTCCAAAATATTCACAACATATAACGTATAAAAAATTTATATTTAATTATTCTTTGCAATCAATTATGACTATGATAGCATCATTCTAAATTATTATTATTGCACTAATGTTTATACAACAACCCGGTTTCACTCTATATACTGTTACATAAATCTACACGTATTTATCCGTAAGGGTCTATATCCATTACACTATTATGATCATTGTTGAACCTTTTCACTATGTGTTCATTTCTTTTCTCTCTCTCGCTCTCTTTTTTCCTTCTAAATAAATATTATTCTTAAGATTAAGAAGCTTTGGATTGAGACAATAACTTGTGTTACATTGAATTCAACTTATCACACTCGTTTTATCTTCACTATGTATATACACCTCATAAATATTGATTATCTTTTGCACTTAATTGAGACTTTCATAGCATCACCCAAAACTATGACTGTGCTTGCACAAACACTTATTCTAACGTCATATCTTACCGCAATAATAAGTTATTTACTTATTAATTTATTCTGCTTTATTTCATTTTTATTACTCGTTTTTGCTATACATACATAGTTGTTTATTCTTGTTCTGCGTTAAGATATTTGCGTCTCCCGCGTCTCCTTTATTTCTATTTCCTTAGTTTCTTCCTTTCCTCCTTCAAAATCAATTCAAAATTCTTGCTAATTACACAGAACCTCATTTATTATTACTATTCTATTATTAATATTTTATTCTCCTTTTCCTTCCTTTCTCAAACATGGCATATGTATTGTTAACATTACTGAAAATTGTGTATTATTGCATTTTTGAAGAAACCCGAAATGGTTTCTTCACAGCACTTATGTACCCATAAAGTGTTTGTGAATAATAATAATAATAATAATAATAATAATCCCTTAATAAAAACTTGTATTCTGGTCCAGATTTAGTTAACAATCTGGTAGATGTCTTCACCAGATTTCGGCGACGACCAATAGGTCTCACGGCAGATATTGAAGCTATGTTTCATCAAGTGATTGTTCCGCCACAGTACCGTGACGCCCTTAGATTTCTATGGTGGCCGCAGGGTGACATAAGATATGAACCATAGACCTATAGGATGAAAGTGCATTTGTTTGGTGCGACCTCCTCACCCAGTTGCACAACGTTTGCTCTACAAAGAACTATTCTAGATAACGAGGCTAGGTTTCCTGAATGTACTATACACACAGCGAAGGAACAGTTCTACGTTGATGATTTATTAACCAGTGTTGATACGTTGTAAGAAGCTAAATTAGTATATTCACAGCTGAAGGAAATGTTACGTTTAGGGGATTTTAATCTAACCAAGTGGGCCAGCAACAATGTTGAATTAATGAAGTTTATTCCAGAGGAAGATCGCGTAGAAAAGAATGTAGACATTTGTTTATCGATGGAAAGAAATGAAAGGACTCTAGGAATAGAGTGGAATGTCCGAACGGATAAGATCCTTTTCAGAGTGTGCGAATTTGATACGACTCCTACAAGGAGAACCATTTTGTCGTATGAAGCTTCTATATTCTACCCAATCGGGTTTATAGCTCCAGTTGTCTTACCAGCTAAATTAATTTTGCAAGATACATGTCGGCAAAATCTGGCATGGGATGCAGAGCTTCCTAGTGAGTGTTTTATGAGATGGGATTGTTGGCTCAGAGGTATGAAGCACTTAAGTGAATTTTTATTTCCCAGATGTCTCATACCAGAATCGTACAAACCACTGGTTACTCAGATTCATTGCTTTGCCGATGCCTCAGAATTTGCATATGGTGTAGTGGTGTACGCTGGTTTTAAAGATGTCTCCCGTCAAGTTCATTGTTCCTTCCTACTAGCTAAGTCCCGAGTTGCCCCACTGAAACCTATAACCATTCCTAGAATGGAATTAACAACTGCTGTATTATGTGCTAAGATTGAGAAACACGTGGAACAACAACTGCATATCCCTATCTCTTCTGTCACTTACTGGACGGATTCATTAATCGTACTTCATTGTATAAGAAATACAGCTAAAAGATTTGAGAGATTTGTAAGCAACAGATTAGCAACGATTCACGAACTATCTACAGATCATGCCTGTAAAAATGGCGTGTACCTGCTAATGCAGAAATATATTATTATTATTATTATTATTACAGCAAGCCAATGGGGATATGTTAAAGGTTAACAGAATTCTACGGGTTATGCTTCGCGTGGATTGTCGTTAAACGATAGCATTAAACTAAATGAGTGGATTCGCGGACCGGACTTTTTATGGCAGCACGAAAATGGCTGGCCAAATTCACGCGAAGATGAGAACCGTATATTTGCCCATTTGTATACAGACGAAGTAGGTGAGACGCCAGCAGGGAGTCATTTAGAACAATTTTTGAATCACTTTAGTAGTTGTAAGACCTGGTCCAAAATGCTAAGAGTATTTGCCCTATGTAAACGCTTCACAATATGAGGATGAGACTAGATGAAAGACCATTAATACTTGGTAAACTAAGATTAGAAGAAATCGATAGTGCGAAGCAGAATATAATTAAATTGGTTCAAATGATCTCATTCCCCATAGAGATGGAGATACTAAGGCAAACACAGCATAAATATGAGTACGGCAACACATGTGGATTACGAGAACGACCGAGGAGAGAAGGCGAATCTGTTTCGAACAAGGAAATGACACTTCATCTAATGTCTGCTGGCAAGAAGATGAGAAGTAGTGTTGCGCGTAGCAGTTCGATAAAGAATCTTAATCCCTTCGTAATAGATGACGTTATTCGTGTAGGGGGACGACTTCAATTATCGCGCTTGCCCTTCGAAAGCAAACATCCGTTTATACTTCCTAGTAACCATTTTGTTACCGACTTGATCGTAATGCATTATCATTTGCAGAACGCGCATTCTGGCATTGCTCACACACTGAACAGTCTTCGCGAAGAGTTCTGGATAATTAAGGCTCAAGCTGCTATCCGAAGAGTCCTGAAACGGTGCTTCCTATGTAAGAGACTCAACAGCACGCCGTGCACTCAAATTATGGATACACTACCCGGATGTCGTCTAGAAGCTTACGTACAACCGTTCAATTCTGTTGGTATAGACTATTTTGGACCATTTTACATTAAGAGGAGGCGAGTCGTTGAAAAACGTTATGGTTGTTTGTTCACATGCCTGTCTATTAGAGCAGTTCACATTGAAATGGCACACACCTTGGATACTGACTCATTTTTATGCGCTCTCTCGAGATTTGGTGCTAGGAGGGACCACCCAAAACACGTATTTAGTGACAACGGTTCAAACTTCAGAGGAGCCGATTCCAGTCTTAGACAGATTGTGTGTAGTTGGGACCAGAATAAGATAGCGAATTCCCTTTTGGAAAGAGGTTGTGAATGGCAAATTAACCCTCCGAGAGCTAGTCATCGAGGTGGTGTATGAGAACGCATCATAAGGTCAATAAGAAGAATTCTAAGATCACTACTATTTCAGAAGGTATTGACGGATGAGTCTTTAAGGACGTTTCTAATAGAAGCTGAAGGAGTACTGAACAATCGACCACTCGTAAAGCTAGTTAACGACTGTGATGATCCGGATGTACTTACGCCAAATAAGTTATTGTTAGTTTACAGAGGTGTATCATTCGACGAAGCTCAGATGAGTATAACGTGCTTATATAACAGGAGATGGAAGGAAGCTCAACAACTAGCCAACCTATTCTGGAACAGGTGGTTACGGGAGTACCTACCAACCCTTCAGGCGACATCTAAGTGGTTAGACATGAGGAGGAATTTACAACCAGGAGATTTAGTGTTCGTAAACAATATTGGCTCACCGAGGAATCTGTGGCCGAAAGCTATGGTTAGACAGGTCAATTATGGTCCTGACGGACGAGTCAGAACAGTTCGATTGAAGACGGCAACCGAAGAGATCAGCCGGGATATACGGAACCTGTGCCTACTGGAAGAGGCTGATTGTTTGAGCGCGACAGTAGAGAAGCCTGAATGTGGTGTCAGCTTGGGGGGAATGTTAGTTATGTCCATAACTGACCAATAAAATCGTTGCTTAAGCTCCCACCACGTTTACCTGGTCTGATGTGTCTGTAAACTATCCCTGTTGCATATGACCTACCAATTGAAAAACATTATTATCCTATTATATTAGTGTGACTCATAAATTTTATTCATTTTATTAAGACACGCAATACTGGTCGGTATGTTTGTGCGTTTCACTTAATGACTGTAATTCTTTAATTATTGTACTAATCTAATTGTTTTTATGTTTAGAAACAGATAAAGTTTAAAGCCAAGTTGTCCTTGTTATGACTATAGTTTTCACTTAGACTCTGGGATCGCCAGTATCGCGTTTACAGTTTTAATAGTATATCTGTAGAACAAAATAAATCCTACACTTATACATCGACTCTTTTCATTGCGAGGGAGCTCTAAAACACTTGCATAGACAAACCTAATGAAGTCGTTTTCGAAACCACGGAGTATCTGAAGATAGTTGCCACCATGCAGGACCTTTTCAGAGAACTGAACTGCAAAGTCGTGCATGGAGAGCATCTCACAGGTGAATTTCAGGCTAGGACTTGTGTCAGATAGGACTCCCAACAATTGCTTTATCTCTTCCTCCTGGCTTTTGGCTGGATTGCGAAGACTTCTATACCTAACAAGAACCATGTAATACAATAGACAGCGTGGATACAGTTAAATGATTTTGACTTGAAAGATGATCTAGTTCTTCCACCCCACACATCGAAACAAATTCAGAAGAATGATAAATATATTCTTGTCACATCCCAATGAGTAGAAAAATTGTACTTCGGACGTTTCACTACTTGATATAAGCTCTTTCTTCGGAGTAAATAAATAGGCGAATTTGGTTATTAACTTTCTATTCAATCTTCAATCCATTTGAAACTATCAAGTCAAACCTTGGCATTATTAATTATAAATGAAGACGAAGTTTGTCAATGTAGGATTGGCTTACTTAGTAATAGACTTCAACATCCACGAAGGAAAAGGCAAGATCTCGAAGTACAACGCAGAGATCAACCAAATGATAATTGATATCGGCGCTCTGTAACAAGCGGAAGTCTTTATGTACCATGGCATGATTGTACTAAAGAAGAAGGATATGATGGTGATATGAAGACATGAATCGGGAAATCATGGTGTGGTAATTGTATGAACTAATGATTTTTTTGTATCCGATTGTCTTCTTATTTCGAATTCCAAATATAATACGTTAATTGGTGATCATCTAGTTCTGTCTTGAATTTCACTATTTTGGGAATTCCTAGTTAGTACAATAATGAGAGTATTCCTAATCGTCATTTTCGCGTCACTATGGAGCCTGTGATTGAACGGTTGTAAATTCATTCAAGTTCTGAAGCTTTTGAAGATTATATGGAAAGTTTTGAATTCAGGAGTATGACCAGGAAAGATATTAAGAATGATAAAATTGTGGCTCGTTTTCTTGCATTTATCGAAAAGGATGCCTACAGTTTATTAGGAACTTTGACATTTCCGGAAAAGCCTATTTTATTTCCTTATGCAACTCACAAGGAACTACCACTAGACAGTGTAAAGTGTACAAATTCCGATTGCAGTAAAGGAACAAAATTTCATTAAGTGATTCGTCAGGACATCGAAAATTCCACTACATTACTACGTCATCCCAATCCAATGTGTACTCAAGGTTATTGAGATAACAACTCATTGGGGTGTTGCGAAGCAGGTCACGAAGACGAGCACAAGTTTTGTAGATGTTTGTCTTGTCACTAATTTCACTGATGTAATTCATGTGTTTCGTAATACTAAGTGCTTTAAATGTGATGATTAGAAGTATTCTAATCATTATACGAACCAAAATCTCCGAAAAAGCTTAATTTAGACTAAACAGAATAATGCAAGTACAGACGAATGTATTGTATTTGGAATTCAAATTCAGGCAGCCATCAAGTACAAAGGAATCATTGTTCATACAAACACCACAACCAACACAGCTTAAAATGGAATCTAAGTTTCTGTAATCAATTGTACATCTTCTACTTAGGTTCATTGTATGTCTGTCAGGCTGTGTATGGGATACAGACCCTGTATCATCTAGAATATACTCATTAGAATTAACAACTGAAATTGGAACGGACTCACCTCGTTGCTGCAATTGTATTTGACCGATATGTCAGTTGTGAGTACTTAAATCATTGATATCTAAAATTCGCACCATAAAAGAACAACATTTATGTAACAATTTCTACGATTTCTACCAATGGGAACACAAAGGAGCTGTCACTCAAAACCAAATTCAGAGTTTTCAATACAAATGTTAAAACAGATATACTGTACGAAGCTGAAACTTGAAGAATTACCACAACCAAAACTAGAAGAGTATAAGTATTTGTGAGAAGCTCTCTACACAATATGCTTCAGATACATTGGGCAGAGACTATCAGCAATCAAATACTCTGGCAGAGGATAAACTAGATCCCATTTGAGGATTAAGTTAGGAAAAAATGTTGAAGGTGGATAGAACACATTTTGCGGAGGCTATAAAACCGCATCACAAGACAAGTTTCAACATGGAATCTTTAAGACACAGGAAAAAGAATAAGACTAAAGAAGGGACTGCATCGGGAATTGGAGGCAAACATCAAAAGCGCAAACAACACTTGGTGACATCTGTAAAAGAGAGCTCAAGAGAGTTGCATGTAAGTTCCTGGTTGTCGGTCTATGATAACTGAGGGGAATCTAGCCTGATGATTTGTTCAGTATGATGTACGTCATACATCTATTTCATTTATGATTATGATTCGGCGAGATGTCGAATGACATGGGTGTGTAGCTGGGTTAGTTTGAAGCAGATGACTTTAAGCTTGAGAGTAGTTTGGCAACTGAGTAGAAAGAGTTCACAAACTTGGCTTTGAAGGATCAATGATCTTTATAAAGATTTTGTGTTGTTTAGAAAGGACAGATAGCAGAAATCTTACGTAACTGAACTAAGCTGAATGTTCTGAAGAAGAAAAACAATGAACTTTGTTAGTTATTAACTAACATTGTTATATACTCCATATTATATCATCTTCCTTATTCATCATAGTTGTCAATAACAACATAAATTTACTCAGTTATTTCCAATAAGAAACAACCTTTAATTAGATAGGAACCAAATGGTTTATTACATTTTTCATCAATACTCTTCCTATTTCTCTCTACCTTCTGTCATATTTAAGAAAAAGATAATAAACAGAATAGTGAATATAATTCTAAGCTTTCTATGATCGACAGAATGAGATAGAATAAATCTATTCACACGTACATACATACTCTATAACATATTCTACAATTTTCATACATTAAATTGAAAATCCATGTTAAAACATGACTGAATAACTGTTTGATAAGAAATTACTTAAAACCTTGTTTTTCATAATGTTGATTATTACTATTTCAGAAGGGGTTTTGTGGATATTATAGTCATTTTTTAATAGTTGAGATCGTGGATCAGTTGAAGTTAGACATTAACATCGTTGGATACCGGCCAACTCAGTGGTCTAGTGGTTAAGCTGTCGCGCGCGAAACTGATAGGTCCTGGGTTCGAATCTCGCTAGCGATGCGGGATCGTGGATGCGCACTTCTGAGGAGTCCCACAATAGGACGAAATGGCCGTCAAGCAGTGCTTTCAGGTTTTCCATGGTGGTCTAGCTTCAATTGATTCATGATCTCAACTATTAAAAAATATTACTATTTCACTTGAAACTTGAATTGGGAATAGGACAACTCGGTGAAACTAACTAATTTCAATTGTTAAAGTCCTTGAAGTCATAATTCATCAATTGTATTTTCGATGTTATGCAAGTGTATGTAATTTTTACTTTATATTATTAAAAGTAGTATATTTTGATTGCCTCACAATTACTAGTTTCTTTTCTAACATTCAAATGATCACTTTTAATTAGTGATGAGTTTCTGCGTTATACAAAACAATTTTTTTCTCATTATAAGTAATATATTACTTATAGAGTAAATAAAAACATGTTATTTCAAAAGTGTTTCTTAGATTAATAACAAGGAGCATAACCGATATATTATTGTAAACATATCTCTCTTTACAATTGTTGAGTCGGCTTCCGGAGAACTCCAACAGAGCCTCCAGAGGCTCATAAAGAGCCCCAGCCAATCAGAGTACGATAGAACATTCTAGAGTCCAACGTGGCATGCTACCATTGGTCGGTAGCAATAAATGACGTTAAATGGATTGGCTGAAATAGGATGTTGATTTAACATATGCTAACATCTATAAATACCTATGTTTTTCTGTACAAGAATGAACCTTGCAGTAAAGTGTTTCTCTGATACTCGTGTCTTCTCTCTGGTGTTCAAGTCTGTGTATAGTTCTAGCCTGGGGTTATCCGAATAGCTTAGGATCTGAATAAAGCGTTCAACCTACAAGACATATCAACAATATATGAAATCGAAATATATTGTAGTTCAGTACATCTATTAGATATTTATTTAAGAGTAAATTTAATAAAATAATAATGACTTTTTATGAAAACTTCAAGAGTCCATCTAGAAGCTCGTTATCTGTGAACTATAGAATTTCAATCCAACAGTCCAAAAATATCTCAGCTAATTCAAGATTTGAAGGTTCTAAACTCAATCCCGAAGGAAATTATTGGGTGTTAGGTAATGGGAAGTAGATCATTGACAGGAACTCTCCAACCCAGGTGTTTCCTAATTACCATTTGTCATAAACTGACCACTAAGTAGTGATTACTTGGTTGTAAGTTCTTCAGTTCTATATAAGGTGAATTGCCATTTGAACAGCTCAGCGATAACGTCTTAAACTATGAAGCTAAATGACCCCGGGCTTTATATCATAGGGAGCACGTATTCTGTGAATATTACTGGTAAGCCAGTTGAAAACTATCAACTAACTCGATATATAGGCCAAGTATTTTCTGTCGATATGAAATCAATTAGATCAGTGTTCACTCTAGAACTTGATTGTCAGAACTTAACCAACCCAATAGAACCATTCAAACATGATATTAGTCACTAATCAGTAACCAACTAGTTGTCAAGTTATTGCATATGTATCAGTCTGAAGAATCTGAAACTAAGACAAAACTGCTGTTTAATATTATCTAATTTCCAAAGCTCATTATTTTAATAATTGCGATAGTTGAAATAAAAATACATAACTCAGTCACATGGAAAATATATAATATCTAGTGACTTAAACATTCAATATTTGATCATATAGTTAAAAATTTTAAATCATATTTTACTTACAACAACGTAGAAACAATAATTATGATTAAAAGATCAGTACTATAATTTGAAATTGTGAGGATGGTCCACAGGTGAAGTCAAGTAAGCTGTAAGAAGCCCAATTTTGTACCATAATCGACACTGTTTAGAATAACATTCCTTCTATTTGTTTTCTGTCTTCTGATTTGTGACTTAGGAGGGTTCTGGCGTTCGAGTGCCCATGTATTACGCGACAGACTAAGAAATCTAAGTTCAAGATATAACACAAATGAACTAAATTATTATTTAATATTTATTGTGTCGTGTGCTACTAATATCGACAGATATAAGTAGTATGTATCATACAATAAGTTACTATCAGTATGACATTTGATAACAAGTATAATGGCAATCATAACATAATGACATATTTATTAGTGTATGTGTTTATTATAAAAAAAGAAAAAAAGAAAAACAAATCATAAGCTCGGTAAGCAGAGATGGATAGTGGCTAGGAGTGGAATCCAGGACGCGACTGACCAGTTGCGGTCCTAACAAATCGATAGGAAGATTCAGACAAACAATACTGAATGAATTTAAATCATAAGCTCAATATGAAAACATGAAAATTTATTATCAAATAGCTTTTTATTTACTTATATGTCTGAAAGCATTACTACTACTACTACTACTACTACTACTACTACTACTACTACTACTACTACTACTACTACTACTACTACTACTACGACTACGACTACTACTACTACTACTACTACTACTACTACTACTACTACTACTACTACTACTACGACTACGACTACGACTACGACTACGAATAATAATAATAATAATAATAATAATAATAATAATAATAATAATAATAATAATAATAATAATAATAGTAATGATAATATTCACACGTTTGTAAACAATAAAATGTCTAGTATCAGCAATTCAGAATAACCATCAGGTCTTTTAAAATGAAATCCTCAACAACAACGAAAAAAGTATCATTTTCAATATCCATTGGTTACTTACTATTTATTTATTTATTTGAACATATAAATATTGGTACAAAAGGGCACCAGATACATATGCGTCACACACAAAATTGTCATTTCATTTAAATGTGTTAGGGTTATGATACTGCCCGGGTGCCCAGACCGAAGCAGATAGTTTTCTTAAAGGGCTACACTCCCGAGCCTTTGACCTAAAGGTCTGATCCATAAGACAGTGGAGCATCGTAAGGAGATGCAGTCCCATGGTAGCCGGTGACCAACGATTGGTTCATACGCCATTTGTTCCTTCAGGATACGGGAGCCCATGTGCACTATTGGTTTGAAATCAGGGTTTTCTAACTCCCCGAGGTGGACTTTCCGTTTCCACCAACCTGATTAAAGCGCTGTACATTCGCTTTTCGTTCTTTCAATTTTGTAAGCTACACCCTCGCCACGAGAAGGCAATGAGTAAGACTTCCCTGACAGAGGCTGTATACGCGTAGCCGTGTGAGAGCATTTCGAGAGAGCGGACCCTCCCCACTCTTGGCTGTACCAGGGCATTCGGAGGTCATAGGTAACTTAATTTAACAGTAAACTAATTAATTTGAATAAGTTCACCTACTTGATTTACTTTGTACTGGAATTATGAAATATTATAAAATCTGATGAAAAAATTTAAATAAACAGAAGAAATTTAATAAATCATATTTGTTAAAATATATAAACATAATCAAATTTTAATGATTGATTCAGACATATTGGGTATCTTCTCCTGTGGTACTAGTGTTGTATGGGTTACTTATATCTACATAATTAGTATATAACGATGGTCAGGCATTGAATGTATTTCAGTAGAAGATCGATAAGGAAAGAACGGGGACGGAATGTAATTGATATGAAAATGCATGAACATTAATAATCGGAGACGATGGACTGATAGTTGCAGAAGGGACGTCCAAGATTGAGACAATTGATTGATAGTTTGCAAATTAAATATTTACTATATGAGCAAAATGGATAGTGGCTAGCAGTGGAATCCAGGACGCGTGTTTCGTCCTATTTGGGACTCGTCAGCTGAATGCGCCTGCATCTCAGAGTTGATGTTCTTTCTATCCACTATTCACCTTTGCTTATAAAGCTTGTGACTTCAGACAATATTGAGGCAGTCCGCATAGGATACATATATGACAACAAGAGACTGATCAATCGCAGTCTTAAATAACAATTGGGAGATATAACTAAACAACACCAAGTGTATTTACTATATGATTCTCATATTTTACTGAGATATTCTGTAATTTCGTGCCTAAATACATTCGATTGTCCCTACTCGTGTTCTTGTTCACTACACTAGAATATATTATATATAACAGACCGATATCAAGTCACAATTTACTGGTCCAGTTGAAAGCTCGATTTCCATAATTCATTTAGGACGATAGATAGGACATTATAATATCTAACACTGTTAAATGAAATATTCCCATACTAGTCCAATTCTACTGAGATCTTATTGGTAGTATCTCTAATGTGGAATTGGAAGAGAGTGTGAATAGTCTAGACAATATGAGTATGTTCACATATGGGTAAAATCTTTTCAAATGAGCGACAAAAACCGTGTTCATAGCTTCCCATCAGTAAATTCAAATCATCTAATGGTAAATTTGACAACCTATCAAACTTCTACAAAGTGACTGACTATTGACTTTGTAGTAATGGTTTTTATTTTAAACCTACAAGATATCTCCCTCATCATCATACATCAAGATATTCAGAGAAATTTAATTTCCTAGAAAGTATACCTATATGAGATACTATCAATAATTAGATTAATATTTTGATTTCTAAATAATGCGGTGAGCCGTTCGACACCGTTAAAGAAAGCATTTTGATACCTTATAGAATTCATAACACACAGTTCAACATGTGTTCACATGAATTAATTCAAGTAAGGTCAAGATATAAAAAAATATTTAGATTGAATTTAATCGGTTAAATTATTTCGTTCGTTTTTATAGGAGAGTTTGAAGTAAATTAATAGAGGATATTATTTTGTTTCAACAATATACATAGGAACAACCTGTTGTGAGATATTAACTCACTGAAACAATTGGTGAACGGTTGATCAACTTCGTAGATTGACTGAAGTTAGACATTAACACCATCGGATGCCGGCTCAATGGTCTATATGCTGAGTGCTTTGGTGCGAGACTGGTAGGTCCTGGTTTTGAATCTCGCTCGTGAGACGGGATTGTGGATGTGCAATGCTCAGGAGTCCCACAATAGAACGAAACGGCCGTCAAGCAGTGCTTCCAGGTTTTCCATAGTTGTCTAAATTCAATTGATTCATGATTTCAACTATGCAAATAATGAATTAGATTTATATTTTAAATGAATCAACAAAAGTAATGCTGATCCCAATCAGTGTATTCTTATCATTTATTCGTTTAAGCTTGATTCATCTACAGAAATGATAATTGTGTATATTGTGAAGCTTGTATTAAAACACTTAATTATCACAAAATGATGGAAATACTAAACATTTAAATAGATTCAACACAAAATTGTTCGCTTCAAATATGGAAATAAATAAAAAAATGTTCACAAAGTTTGAAAATGCGTGGGTTGTCAAATCACAGTTTTATGAACCAATAGGCTACAAGAATGAGTTAGTAATAAATTACGTGTACAGATTAGTCATTTCCTCTTGTAATTACGTGAATCATATATACATATGTTGTTCCAGATGATGTTTCACTTATCAGCTATGGGATTTTTTAGGCATTATTATTATTAAATTCACTTAGTATTGTTTGTTTGAATCTTCCCATTGATGTTTTAGGACTGCAACTGGTCAATCTCTTATTGGCATATGTGCATATTGTGCGTATTGCCTCGACATAGCCTTGATTCACAAGCATGATAAGCAAAGATGGATAGTGGCTAGCAATGGAATCCAGGACGCACGTTTCATCCTATTCGGGACTCGTCAGCTAAATGTACCTGCATCTCAGAGTTGATGTTCACTCTGGAACTCGAACACAGTACCATTCTATTCAAACGCCATCGCGTTATCCACTTAGTCACTGAATAAGATCAGTGTTTTCCTTTTGTCTATTAATTATTTAGAATAAATCAGTTACATTCATTTCATATCCCATGAAATCATGATATTGAATGAATTCATTTCATTCTACAAACTTTATTGTTCTTATTCTGTAAAATAAAAATTTATCAAGGGATCTAATTATATGAAACTAAGAATAGAAATAGAAGAAATTTAAATTAAACATTCAATATTATTAATAAGATATAAATAGAAATAAATAAGAAAATATTTTTAGAACTAATCAATTAGATTGTTTGTTTTTTTGTTTTACAGCATATATCACAATTTGATTCCTAAGTAACAATATATATATACTTCTATATTATAATTTTGGTTGCTTGCTTACGCGCGCGCGCGCGCGCCCGCTCACACACACACGCACGTGTACACGAGCTTGTTTCTTTAAATTTGTTCAATAACTTTTATTGAAATATCCGTTATTTTTAAATTTACATAGTATTGGCTGTTTGAATAATCCCATTGATGTTGAGGCCTACAATTGATCAATTTATTATTATCAGAAAAGGGGCCATCCAGTGCTTCCAGGTTTTTCATCGTGGTCTAGCTTCAATTGATTTGTAGTGCCGCAATTCGTTAATCGTTTACTTCGATAACCGTTATAATTCTAATCTTAACGGCGCGTAAAATCAGAAGACAAAGGATAGCAGCAACTACAGTTTATTGTCGAATAACTCAGGTCAGAAAGTTAACAACACTTGAGCGCTTAATAACGAGCGAGTGAACAGGCAAATAAGCGAAGGAAGCGAACGAGGCGGAAATGACATGCATGGGAGATGGCTGGGAAGCCAACTCGATTTAAGCAAGCATTAATCAACATTTATAGTCGGACAAAAATGAATGACAGACATACGATGAATAAGATACGAAGTATGCATACACATATACGCTCATATAAAAATATAGTCAAGGTTAATAAGCGAATAATTAACAAGATTAAAAGGTGACTCAATGTACAGGTGAATTGGCTTGGCCAGCAACTGGAATAAAGTATGTGGGCTTAACATAACAACCGATACTACAGATTCATGATATCAACTATAAAATTACTAATATCTCCACTATCCCCCCTTCTGATATTAATCAACATATGCACACTAGTGACTGGCTTCAAGAGATATATCCTGGAGTTCTAGTGAGAAACAGTGACCAGTGGAGTTCAACCGAGTCTGTTGTGAGATATTGACTCACTGAAAACAATGGTGGACGGTTGCTCAATTTCGTGGATTGGTTGAAGTTAGACATTAACACTGTTGGATGACGATTCAGTGATCTAAAGGTTAAGCGCTCGCCTGTCCTGTGTTCGAATCTCGTGAGGCGAGGTCGTGGTCCAGGTTTTCCATGGTAGTCTAGCTTCAAATGATTCAAGATTTCAATTACACAATCTATTATTGACATATGTGCATCGTGTATGGATTGCTTCAATATTGCTTTAAGTCAAAAACATTATAAGTAACTAGCAGTGGGATCCAGGATATGTATTTCGTCGTAAGTGGATGACGCGATGGAGTTTGAAGCGAACAGTGATGGTTTAAAATCACAAAGTGAACATCAACTCTGGGATGGAGGTACATTCAGCTGACGAGTTCTGAATAGGACGAAATGCGCGTCCTAGATTCCACTGCTAACCACCATCTATATCAGTTTATACTATATTAATATAATAATACACATAATTTTTTTTCCTATTATAAAGTAATGTAGATGAGTTATTTAATTTATTTGTTCATGTTATAAGCTTATGATGGATTACGATATAAACATTAATATTAATTAGTTCTCTAAGAAAACAAGATGAAAATAAATAATTTCTTAAAATCAATGAGGACGTAATTGTA